TATTTGCTCCAGAACAGTCACATTTAAACTCTTATCATCAGACAGTCTCTGTTCTGACAACTCAAGAGCAGAAACAGATAAAAAAATATATATATATATTCAGTGCTGGAAGTTCTCCCAGTGCGTATGCATGACAAGCTGGGACACCCAGGAGCAGCGCAGACCCGTTGGACCATGTTGACATCACAGTCATAGTGAGGCACTGTCACACTTTGTCGCAGTGCCTGGGTGGACCCTCAGCCCCACAGGGCACCTGTGGAACCACTGCAGGTTTGTGAAGGTCGACTGCGGACACGCTTTCGTCCTATCCGGACCAGCTAAGACGCCAAACACTGACAAAGACAAGAAGCTACTCCTCAAGCTGGGCTTCACGCTGGGGGAGACCTTAGGAGAGGGTGCGTTCTCCACGGTGAGGGCGGCCACCTCCCCCAAGTACACGGTCCCCCTAGCTATCAAGATGGTGGACAAGCGAAGGGCCTCTCCAGAATTTGTGGAGAAGTTTCTGCCCCGGGAGCTCTCCATCCTGCGTGAGCTGGATCATCCCAACATCGTGCTCATCTTTGAGATCTTTGAGCTGACCAGCGGTATGGTCTACATCGTGATGGAGTCGGCAGCCTTCGACCTGCAGCAGCGGCTGCAGCAGCTGGGCAAGCTGCCCTGCGTCCCCGACGCCCGGGACATCTTTGTGCAGGTGGTGGGGGCCGTGCACTGCCTCCACGACCGCAACATCGTGCATCGTGACCTCAAGTGTGAGAACATACTGCTCAGTGCTGATGGCTGCCAGGCCAAGATTGCTGACTTTAGCCTCAGCAGGGAAATGAGCAGCTACCCAGAAGTGAGCAGCACCTTCTGCGGAACAGAAGCCTGCATGGCCCCGGAGATGTGGCTGCATTACCCCCACGATGCCAAGAAGTTGGACATCTGGAGCCTGGGGGTGGTCCTTCTTGCCATGGTGACTGGCAGCTTGCCCTTCCACGGCTGCCTCTGCAACACGATCCAGCATCAGAAGGATGGGGTCCAGCACCTGAGGGGGGTGTCCGCGCTGCCGGAGCCCTGCCAGGCCCTCCTTGTCCAGCTGCTGCAGTTCTTACCATCCTCCCGGCCCAGCGTGGAGCAGGTGGCCAGCAACAGCTGGCTGAAGGGGGATATCTAAGGGGAATCCTCCCCAGAGAATGTGTCAGGACAGCCAGCTTTTGGTGCAATAAATGCTGTTGAAGAAAAGCTCTTGAGCAGTTTGACTAGCAGGGTGTGGGTGGGATTAAACTTCAAGTGCTGGCAAGACTTGGTCAAGAACTTGGTCAAGAACTTGGTCAAACCCCTTCACAAAGCAGATGCATAAACCTGCCATCGGTTAGGCTTCAGGCTCTGGTCGCTGTATTGAGTGAGGGGTTAGAGCACACCACGGAGCTGCTCGCATAGCAGTGGCTGCCTGAGCAAATAGGGGGGCCAGGCCCAAGCTCTCCCACTGATCCAGCTTTGGTAGCCACCGGCCTGTATTGAGCTTTAGATCACACCGGAATACTCAAAAACAAACAAACAAACAAAAACCCTCACAGCAGAATGTTTACAAGCAATCCAACAGCATTACCGACCCAGAAGTTCTGGGGTGGCTTTCAGATCCATGCCTTAACTTCAACCACGTCTTGCAGGCATGGAATAATGACAGCATTCGCAGTCTCTGCCCAGAGGTACCGGATGAGAAAGAAACATCCTGGCCACAGAGGCAATCAGCCTAGCAATCACGGTCACCCCCACGGCTCTGTCTTTTCAGGTGCTTCTGCTGTGAAGAACAGAAGTCAGCAGTAGCCAAAATGTAATTGCCAGATGTATGCATTGCTTGCTGTCCCATGTTTTCACGGGTCTATGCTTACCCTTGCAAATGCTAACTCACTGCAAAGTCTGCGTGTCTGCAAGAGTAAAAACGGCTGTCGTCTTGGGAGCCCATGGTTCCTTGTCCAGGCAGAGCCAGCTGTGGGAGCAAGCGTGGCACTTGGGGCTTGCTTGGGATTTTGGCTGGAGGAAAGCTGGAAATCTCCAGAAGTGGAGCTAGCACAGCTGATGGGGGCGACCACGACATGGGGTGTGAGTGCCCTCTGGTCTGTGTTGAATGTAGTTAGGCAATTTGGATCCCTTATTCAGAGCTGGGAGAGAGCCTTCTGCTTTCTTATGTTCCTATGAGTTCTTATGCCCAGGTCTTGTGAATTCGTGAGATAAGGAGTTGGCGAGAGAATTCAAACGTCTTTCTGGGGTGTTAAATGTTGGTGGATTTATTATCAAGCAAGAGCTACAATCTGATTGAAGGTCTGAAAACCAGAGAAGTTGTAAAGCACAGTTGTAGAATCAGGTAGGATTACAGAATGGCTTGGGTTGGAAGGGACCTGACTGACGCAGATGAGGGCATATCTCACCCCCTCAGGCAGAGGGAGGGGCCCAATTCAATCGACGTGCCATCGGTGGAGAGGACTGTGTCCTCTAGCAAGATGGGCTGTTGTCTCAGGCCAAGGTCTTGGTCTCATCTTGGAGCCAGCGTCGCAGTCTCGGCATGCCTGGGCGAGATCAGCTCTGAGAAGTCGCCTGGTACTGGTGGCCCGACACCGCTACTCTTCGTGCCTTGAGATGCAGCAGCAGCAGCAAACCCTGAGCAGCCGCCCAAGCGCCCTCCTGAGCAGATTGCGCCGTGGCCAGCGCTCACCGCGACTCGCGCCAGAAGACGGGAGAGATTCTTGTTGGCCAGGGCCTTCAGGCACCAAGACCTCTTCCGTTCCTCTGCCGCTAGAGACAGAGGCTGCTGCTGGCAGATCAGGCAGCTCGCGGGTGCCGCTGGCAGATGTTGGTGCCTCAGCTGCGGGCACGTGCTGTGCTGCGGCTGCCTGAGCCACTGCCTGCTCTGGCGGAGGTGGCAAGGTGGGCACGCTGGCCGTGTCTCCCTGCGGGACCCCATTGCCGGGCAGTGTCTCATTGTCTTCCAGCTTGTTCTCCTGCAAGAGAAGGCAAGAAGAAAGAAGTGAGTTGGGACATTTCCCTGTGTTGCCCTCCATGGCTCTGCTGCAAATGCTCCTGCAACCTGTCCTGGTGGCGCAGCCGCATGGGCCGCTGCCACCCTGCTCCACAGAGCTGGCCGGGAAGAGAGCAGCTCCTCATGTGGCACCTGCTGGGCCTGGGGGCTCCCTGCAGCAGCCCCCACCATGCCCCGACAGCTGACCACGCTCGGTGCGGCTCAGTCTGACAGGGGGTCGGCCCACCTGTCTCCTCCAGCACTTCCCGACGCCTGGACTCACCATGGCCTGGGCTGTGTCCTGCAGAGGAATGGCACAGGCTGTTGGCTCATGCAGACAAGGCCTCTGGCTCTCATCCCTCGCCGCTGGGCTCTGTTCGCTCAGGAGAGATGAAGCTGGAGCATCCTCCTCTTCCGCTGTTGGTGCGGATGCTGGCATCCCATCGCCATCGTGCGTATCACCTCCAGCCTTGGCATCTGCGTGCCTTGAGGCAGGAAGAGCCGTGCTCTGTGCCTGGCCATCCGACTCTCCCGAAACCTCTGTGTCCGTGATGCTGGAAGAGCCGGGCGTTTGCTGAGGAGAAGCCTGCGGGTCCCGGATGAAGGCTGCGATCCTGGGGTTGACCCAGTGGCTTATGATCTTTGGCTCTTCATCATCAGCTTCTTCCAGCTCATCCTCCTTTGCCGTGCCCCGTGGCTCGTGCTCTGGAACACACGGGAGTTTCTGCCTTGCTCTCTGCTTCCTGGTGTTCCTCACCTGCCTTTTTATTTCCCAGTATTCGTCTAGGCTGTGCCCGGTACAGGCCGCACAACTTTTAGCCATCTTTGTCAGAAGCTTTGTGTTCTCTGACAGGATCTTTCGACATGGCTTTCGAGTCTCATGGTGCAGCCACAGCCTAGCACCCATCTCTTGGCACCGGATGCACGGCTTCATGGCGGCTGGGTACCGATAGGCCCTTGGCCCTCCATGGTGCCCTGACTTGTAGCCCCAGCGTGAGAAAGCGCGCGCAGCTTCTCTGTGGGCAGCTATTGCTGCTGTAAGCTCTTGGGGATCAGGCCCAGATCTGTGTGCGGCCTTCTGGGCCTCGTCTGCTTTTGCTGCTCCCGCTGCTTGCTGAGCTTGTGTCAGGTCCTGCTGTGTGATGCATACAGCCACAGTTTCTGTCGGGACTTGTGGCACGGGGGATTGCACAGTGTTCTCCACTGCTGCGTCGGGGACGGCTGGGCTCGGTGGAGCAGTTTTCTGTTTGCCCGATCCTGCTGCTTCGTCCTGTTTGCCGAGGCTGTCCAGAGCAGTTGCGCAAAGCTCCTGATGGCCAGGGTCTTCAGGTACAAAGGCCTTTTCCCCTCCGCTGCAGCTAGAGACAGAGGCTGCTGCTGGCAGATCAGGCAGCTCGCGGGTGCCGCTGGCAGATGTTGGTGCCTCAGCTGCGGGCACGTGCTGTGCTGCGGCTGCCTGAGCCACTGCCTGCTCTGGCGGAGGTGGCAAGGTGGGCACGCTGGCCGTGTCTCCCTGCAAGACGCTTCCGCGGGACAGCGTCTCATTGCCTTCCGCATCGTTTGCCTGCAAGAGAAGGCAAGGAGAAAGGCCGAGTTACTTTGGGCTCTTCCATGTGTTGCCTTCCATGGCCCTGCTGCAAATGCTCCTGCAACCTGTCCTGGTGGCACAGCTGCATGGGCTGCTGCCATCACAGAGCTGGCTGGGAAGAGAGCAGCTCCTCTCTCTCCTGGCTCAGTCTGACATGGAGACGGCCCGGCTGTCTCCTCTAGCAAGTCCTGCTGTTTGCCAGCTGCCTGCTTGTCAGCACCTGGTCTCCCTGGGTCTCCCTACCTGTGCCTGGTGGCTGCCGTGTGGAGATGGCAGCGGCGGCAGCCTGTCCTCTCGGAGGGAGGATTCTGGGCTCTGGCTGCCCGCTGTCATTGTGTGAGGTGGCCTGCGGATCACCTGCGGGGAACAGAAGGAGAGGGATTGAGCGCCCACACTGGCCCGACAGCACCCGCTGTGCCACCAGGCCCACTGGGCCCACTGGGCCTGGGCCTGGGCTTTGCCTGCCCCATGGATGGCAGAGCTGAGCGTGGCCAAGCTGCTCTCTGCCCCTCGCCTCCAAGCTTCCAGGCCCACGTGGGCCTTGGCCTTCCCAGGCATCATTGGCTCTGTGTGGAGATGCTCCCAGGTGTCAGGAAGCGCAGTGCTCAGGCTGTAAGGAGCTCAGGGCCAGCTGGCCGGCTCTCCCCAGCACCACGTCCCTCCTCCTGCTGCTCTCCACACCATCCTGTCATGCTGCTGGTCTCTCCCTCACTCCCTGAGCCTCACCTCATCTTGCTCCTGTCCGCTCGGCAGCCCTTGGTTGGGCTGAGAGTGAGCGTTAGGCTCCTCTTCCTTCGGCATCTCCATGTCTGGAGACCAGAGAAAGGCACCAAGTCGAGCTGCTGCCTCCTGACAGAGCTGCTCTCCTCGGAGTGAGCACCCGAGGGCTCTGGCCCTGCCAGGGGTGTCGCTGCTGCGGTTACCCGTCCACATCACAATGGCCTCTGGGCGTGGTGCCACCCAGCCATCACAAAGGCCTGGCTGTGGCTGTGGGCCCACAGAGGCCCATGTGCTCGCAGCTGCCCTCGGGATAGCAGCTGGCGTGCCCACAGGGAGGCCCGGGTCAGCAGGGTCCCCTGTGTTCTTCTGCCATGCCTCCCTTTGCTCAGCCCCGTGCTCCTCTGTGGGCTCTCCCGTACCTCCGACACCCCCATGTGCTGGGCACCCGAGACTGGGCACAGCTCTCTCAAGGCCGCCCGTGCTGGTGAAGTCTTTCCACCT